AATTGCCTGGTTCACAGCCTCTTAAGAATGTAGGTGCCTGTTTTATGAGTCCTGTTAATAACTCAGCTGTGCATGTTTGATCTCTGGATGAGGAATGCTTGCCAGAAAACTAGGAACAGTTTTCTGTTCAAAAACATTGCTTTTGTTTTCACACACTTTTTTTCCCCCTGGGGTTACCTGGCATGAAGTTAGCTATCTCCCTTTCTGCTGTGTTGCTGTCTCTTGACTTATTTCAGTACCTGGGCACAGCTACTGGCAACACGGTTGCTAGTTGGCTACTGCCCAGCACAGAGGAGGGCTGGTGTGTTTTAGGCTTCCGAGCTCTCTCCACTGTCAGGACCCACCTCCCAATGGGCAGCAAGTTCCCGTCAGTCCAGTTTCCCTTGCTGGGACAGCTGGGTGCTTACCACATCTCAGGACCTGGGTTACTCTATCCAGCTGTGACTTGACTAAACATGGAAAATCTAATGGGCCCAGACACATTTGAACACATCTTTGTTGGAAATTATGGAATTATTTTTTTTTAGTTGTATGTCATTTGTGTTCTCCATATTTTAATTCTCTAAAGGAGGTTTAGGATAGACTTGAGGTTTTGGGGTTTTTTGTTTTGTGGTTGTTTTTTTACATATGATAATATTCTGTTAAACACATTTTTTTTCTAATTGTCAAGCAAATTCTCCAATCTATTGTCATATCCTGTAACATCATACATTAACAGTTGATTAAAACAGTTTCCTTATATCTTCATTTTATCAATAATACGTACCAATGTATCTAACTAATGACAGTGTCTCTAATAATATCTTTACCTGTAATTCAATATCTTTTGCTAATTTAAATTTAAATAACTTTCTTCTTTTTGTGACTTTCTTTCACATCAATAAAAAGGATGGGGAAATCCAATCTGTGTACAATACTGCTTTAAACTCATTTCTACCTCTGTGACAAAACTTGTCTCAAAACGAATTATCCACCATTGAAAACAAGCTTCTCTCATTATAATATTTAAAGTGGGCTGCATGCATGTGAGAAAGTACAACAGTAAGAATGTAGCAAGGATATATTCTCCAAGCATTTTATTTGTCTTTAACTGTACCAAAGCAAAAAATAATTGTAATTAATAGCTTTAAAATCTTGGCTGGGAGACCAGTCTGTTGCAGGAAATACATTAGCACACAGAGCCTGTTCTGCCAAACACTGACGTTCTCTTCAAAGGTCCAAGTGCCCCCAGCTCCACAGCTCACAAGTCCATGAGCCTACAGATTTGGTCTCAGCGGTAAAAAGCTTTTCAATTGACTCCACAAACCTAACTTCTAAACTTTTTATGAACATTTGCTTTGACGTTTATCTGTAATCTCCCTTGGCAACTGGGCGGGAGATTAATGGTGTTTTGTATGAGGAAGAGATCTCTTACAAAGCATCTAACCTAAACTTGCCTTCCTTAGTTCAGCTGAATGCATTGATCTGCAATGTAGCTTTGGTCAAACTCCTCAAAGCCTTTCCCCATCCTTTATACTATTTTGTTTCAAGTATTTGAACAGAATTTTTGATGAAGTGATATAGCAAATAGCTCCCAGAAAGAACAAGCAGACAGAAGTAACAGACTTGATATAACATATACTACTACGGGTTGCACTTAGAGCATGTCTCAAGTCAGGCTACGACATTGCACGACTACTGACTGTACCCGAGATTATAATAGCTGCAAAGTCTCAGTAGGCAGAAATGCAAGGCCCTTACTGAGCACTCTGGGCACGCATCAGCTTTTCTGTAAACGTGTAGCTGAATGCATTCATTACCAGTTCGCTGAACTGTCCATGCCGAGGTCAGTATGTACCAACATCGTGCGTGTGTACATCACAGGCACAGTCAGTTGTGCTGCAGACACGAGCACACAAGAACTGAAGCCTGGCCAAGGGGAGCCATCCTTGACGTTGTTTTTTTGAGTAACACACATATAGCCAGATATGGACAGGTATAGGGAGGCAGCTAAGCGTAACTGACCACAGAAGAGACAAATCTGTAAGTACAATTAGTGACAGCAAAAGGAACTGTTTCACTGGGAAGTTTTTGGAACAGGGCAAAAAGTATTAGGCAGGATTAAATGGGATTGAGGTAGAGACTGGGGAGTTTAGAGAATACAGGTGAATCTCTGAGTTGTATGTATTTCTCTTACTCTCTACTCTCCCAAGACTGTTACCTCATTCATGTGTTCAGGCATTTGACTGACATTCTGCGTTTTTGCAAAGCAGTTTAATTTTTCAGCACTGAAAATGTGTTGCTGTTAACAGTTTAATGAAATTATGGTTATGAGTTATTCAACCAGTACCAATAATTAAGTAATTGTTCATTTCAAATGCATCTATTTATAATTCAGGAAATAAATACTATACTGATTATTTTCATTCTGCTCTGCAAATAATCGTTCTGTTTGTGTTCTGGAGGCATGGCCATGAGCACACAAAGGATCTAGCCCTCAGTAATACCAGCAAAAGTAATACTGGAGAAGAACCTTTTAAAATAGACTGCTAAGTACTTTTAAGTGCAAGTCTTTTTAACACATTGAATTTTGACAATTTGTTGATTTACATTGAGAAGAATTTTCTGTCTCCCATCAGATTGTTATTATCAGCTGTCACTGGTGTTACTGTCACATACAATTGTCTATTAATATTAAGCTCCAATAGGAACTGATTTCTACTGTATCCCAAGCTATTTTACACTCCTATGGCACATGAATGTAAAATAGCCATATTCCTCTTTTTTTCTAGGTAGGTTACAATATTTTCAATTTTCAGGGAAGTCACAACAAGGTCCACAGAGAAACAAATCAAACTGAAATAATAAATTCATAATAAATGTCTTAAGGACTTCCCAACATGTTCTTATTTATAGTGGCTTGCAGAAGCCACGCTGTTTCCTGTCAGTTGAGCAGTGATGAGGTTTTCAGCCTGCTAGCTACACTGAAGAGCTACTGCATTTGCAGAATAAATATTAGCAATGAATTTTAGTATAGCTGAAAATAAATATACAGCTTATATTCAGCAATGAAAGGAAGCTGAAGTTAACAGTGAGTTACTATGTAAGATTAGTTCTAGGTATGCAATCTTTACAGATTCTCTGTCAGATTGATTTAGGCAGGCACAGCTCGCTATTCTGAAGCATGCTCCTCTATTTCAATTAAAAAATGTAGGGGAATAAAGTTGGCAAGAGGCAACACTAATTCCATGCCACCACCCTAAAACAGAATTGCTTCAGAATATTCGGAAAGACTCACAGTTGAAAGGAACAGAGGCTGCAGAAAAAGCTCAAGCACATAGTTACAACAAGAACAAAGCAATTCATCTATGCCATGCAAGCACTTCAGTGTAAGGCTAAAAATAACAAGAGTAGAACACAAAAAGTTGTTTTAAATGTGCAGTATCAGTTCCCCTTTGGATAGTCACATTGGCTAGATTTTTTTTTGCTTTCGTCCCCACTATGTTCTGGCAGTCACCACAGTGACAGCACCCAAGCCAACGCTGCTGCTGCTGCTGCCCGGGTGATGGCGCACAGGGTGCTGGGCATCCCCTGCGAGGCGGGCACCACCTTTGTGGAGGCATCAGCCTCCACCACCAGCACCCAGCCCTGCGGCCCTGAGCCTGATCAGCCTCGAAAGCTGCCACAAGGCTGTAAGAGTACAATAAACTACACGAAATCCCAGATGGTTACAATGGATCCAGGCACTGGCTGTCTGGATAAATAAACTCTGGGTGTGGGTGACAGTGTGACAGATCCTGCACCTTTAAAACTTGAAAAAGCGAGTAAAAACCAGTCATCTAAAAACCTACACTACAGCATATTAATAAAAATGTATATATTGAAGAAAAGGCTAAATATATATCAGAATATATATATTTAAGAAGAGAGATGTAACAAATACCTGACATGTCATTTTCCAGCACGTAGGAACAACTAATACACGTGCCTTGTAGTTCTCACAAACGTGTTGGTATCATTAGAATTTAGATAACTTTCTTCATGGGCCGTATTTGTATCTCAGTCACACTGGTTAAATCTGGACCATTTCCATTGTCTGTTGACTATGGAACTGCTCTGGTTTAAACTAGTGTAACTGAGGTAATTTAGCCTCCTGCTCCACTCACTTAGCAAGAAAATACTCTAAGCTAGCAATTAATGCTTTTTAGTTTTATCCCAGAAGTATTCAACATATACAAAGACATAAGCTATAATGTAGTGTACATTGTCAAGCTTAATTAGTACAAAACATGTTATTTTGCTCAATGCATTGAAATATAACTAAGTTTATTTTGTTGAATGATTCAAAATAGAATTTTAGGATTTAGCTCTAATAAGGTGTTCTTTTCAAGCAAGAAAACAGGCATAGCATTTTCCTCTTCTTGATCTAAGGAAGTTGTTTTATCAGTCCTATACGATTATCTAGTGTAATAGGATATAATTCTCTCGATATCTATTTTATTATTGTTTATTGTCCTTCAATGACATTATAATTGCAAAATTTAGTGATTTTATTTCTTTGGTTCCTAACAATCTAGAAAGACCAAAAGGCACAGAGAATAGCACATTGCAAAGGTTATCAGACTGACCGCCAGCTGGAGGAACAACTTGGTCAAGTAACTTCATGCTCGTTTTCTTCCATATTTTCTTTATAACTGCTCTAAGTTCTTCATTTGCTTGCTCTAGGTTACCTGTGGCAACGAAACAGAAAAACAGAATATGGCAATTAGGCTTCAATCAGCTGCAAGGAATGATCCTTTGGATATTTATTAGCCATATACAAATTAAGACAGTGATAAGGATGCCTTGTAGCAAGCCTAAGCTACAAGAAGTAGGAGATGAAAATACTACAAGAACTAAAGAGAAGAAAGGGTATAACCCAGTGAGGTACTAGGCTTTCAAATCACTCTGTGAAGTCCTGCAGAGGTCAACAGTCATTTACAGAATTTTACTCTACTCTGACACTGCTTAATAACCTGAACTGCTTAATAACCTAAATGGCACAGAAAGGGATGACTTGTGGGGCTGGACTAGATGATCTTTTGAGATCCCTTCCAAGCCCTAACATTCTGTGATTCTTTGCAAGTCACTTCTTTTGTGATCTGAAGTTGAGACTTTATTTGTTTAATCATAACAATTAACCAGCTGTACACGCTTGCAAGCTGAGGCAGCTGACCACCGAGCTTTTTCTCAGCGCTCACCTAAGCCACAGCAATGCCTCAAGGAGCTTAATCTCGTTAGTTTGTTACTGGCAGTGGAACTCATTCTGCTGAGAATGGCAGAAGACACAGAACACAGAGTAGAAAGGGGTGATAACATAAAGGAAAAATATATGAAAATACCAAGCAAAAATCTTTGAAACATACTACTACTTTTAAAACTTTTCCTTCTCCCATGTATGTGACAGAAAGCCATTAAGCCTACTCAGAACTGGCCTCAACCAATCTGGGGATGTTGCTTTCAAGGGTGCAAATCTGCATCCAGTTCAAAAGCAGGGAGGAAGGAGCATCTTGGTTGGACAGAAAGTGTAACTCATTCATTCCTTGCACTAGAACTTCTGTATGCCACTGCTACATGTTTTTATTTGATCAGGTAAAAGCATACAATAATTTCTGAGATTTCCTGGGCTTTTCCCTCACCATCTGTTTCTTTTTCTAGAAAATCTTTTCCAGCACCAGTGAATAGAACCCACAATCCAGAAGTAAAAAGAATCCAGGAAGACTAAGGCAGCCTTACTCACATCCAACAAAATGAATAAAATAAACTGTAATTTTTCCTTATTGTACCATTTGACCAGTGCAGTAAAGGCTTTACAGCTAAGAACCTTACCTTCTGTTTTTATCTTTAGAGCAGTCCTCACCAAAGCAAATAAAGTAGCATTGAACATGACGGTTCCATCACTGTTTAGTGGCATATTCATGGCTACTAACCTCTGTAAATGAGAAAAAGAAAACAAATTTTTCTGCAACTTTTTTTGGAAAAAACTCCTGTAATGTTAATTTTTGAAAAGCTGACACATTCAAAATTATACATGTCTTCAAAACAAGTTAAGTCTTCCATCCTATCTAGGTATTATAACCACCCAATATTACTTCTTTCTGATATTAATCAATCCATATTCATACAAAAGCTAAAACTATCCACTAGTTTTCATGGCTATTTATTGAGTTAATTTGCAAACAGTAAACCTACTGTCTGGCTATGGCTAGAAGTCACACGATACAAGTATTGAGCATAAATGCAGTTATTGAAGAGCATGCTCTCCAGTTGCAGTCATGTTCCCACATGTTGCTCCAGCCTCATGCTCCATAAGAACCAGGGCACCAGCTCTGTCCCATGTAAGCTGGTTCATTTCTCAGGTAACTCTCCAGTGATGCTGTGCATCTCTCATGCTATCTACACTAAATTAGTGTGAAAGGGGCTTTCCTCTTTGGATTAGTCCATCCCTGAACTACAGGGTTCCTCTTTCACAGTGCTATCACTGTGATCCTGTCTGTCTGGAAAACACTAGTTAAACTATTAAAATATTTTCCTAATCTCTGACTTTGACTTTCTTCTATTCTAGTTTAAATTACATAATTTATCATCACATACAGATATAGATTTGCTTTAAGTATGCCCTCTGGCATTCCATTTGAACCCAGCATTTTATACATCAACTTACCTATTTATAAAACAGATATAAACCAAATCCAAATGACAGTGCTCTTGTAACAATCCTTTAGTTAAAAGGCTTGATCTTATTCCTACTGAAATTGCTAAACCCACAATATCCATAGTTCTGTAGTCCTCAAGTAACATAATAATTATTCATCTCCTTTGTATTGCTTTTAACTTTTGTATTAAAATGCAATTGATCCTCATCTAAATTACACCTCGTGCTTGACATTCTACATCACTTTATATTCCCTTTAATTTTTTCTCGTCCACTGCTACATGCTGTATTGCACTTCAGCTTGGTTTATCATCTTGTAGTCCCCACCCTTCAGTCTCATTTCTATGCTTCATGGGCAGCAAACTTCTCACAAACACATCTTTAAAATACTGTATCAAAACTTCATTGTCAACTAAAGTAAGTTACCACCCTCTTGGCCTTGGGACTGAAAAGAAATCAGAAATGTCAGTGGGTCGAAGTAGTCTTCTATGTGACACTGGGTCACTAGAAATGCTGGGATGAGGTAGTGCATATACGTCACAAAAATACACTAATGATAAAATTTACAGACCAATCCCTTTCATTTTGATGTTCTGTGTAACTACTCAAGTGAGCACGCTAAGAGAAGACACTAATTTTAGTGGTTTTAGTTAAGCCTGAAAAAAACAGGAAAACTTGAGAGCAAGGGAGAGCTTGTGAACAGACACGATTACTATGCATACATGTCACATGGTGCAGAATTGAATATACGAATGAACTGTGAGAAAAACCCAGAAAGAAAATAGGTTAAAACCCACCTTGCAGGCCACTCGGTGAGGGCATAATTTGCCAAAACCAAGTGGTGGCTGAATGCGTCTCAGTAACGTAACCACATCAAGATGCTTTATCCTTCCCCTAGAATCAACATATATCAGTTACCAAATGCACATCCATTCCCAAAGAATATACTATGCTCTGCTTTTATTGTTTTTACCACTTAAATCTTATCAGAGAAATGATCTAACTTACTTTGCTTCAGGGTCATACTCTGACCATATCCTTTTGAACTCATCCAAATGATGGGGACCCAGAATAGACCAGTCACGTGTCAAATAATCAAAATTATCCATTATGACAGCAACAAAGAGGTTTATAATCTAAAACAGTAATCAAGAACAATCTGTCTTAATTATTTTGAAATTTAAATAAAAATTAAAATAACTTCATAAGGTAGCAGGTTAAGAATTCAAACAAATAAATTGATCTCCAATGACGACTTTTGGCAAATATCAAATATCACGGAAAATACTTGCTAACCATTTCACTGGCTAACTGGAACTCTATTGAGTAATGATATGACAAGAGTGTGATTCTCTCTGAGAGTACTTAGTCTGACACAAGCTGTAACATGGTTTTGGTTCTCTTCCTTGATTTGCCAGTTCCCACTACATCAAATTAACGAATGGATCCAATGCATGTATTACTGTAGATCTTGGGAAACAGCTTTTGTACTAACGGGATTCAATGTCATGACAATAAGACTTTTGCACATATTTTCTTAATACAGAAGATGACACAGAACAGCAGAACATTTATGTTTACATTAGTTCACAGAATTCTGTTCTACCACTCTGCTTTTGCAAGGAGCACAGTACTGTGAATAGAACAAATCAACCAGCTGAGACCAGACACTTGCAGTGAGGAAAAATATTATTCAAATATTATTTTACAGCAAATATGCCACAGATTAGGAAGAAAGGTTATTGTTCACATCTCTGGTGTTACAGTTTGAGCACACTTGCAGAGACACAAATCCAAATTCTGCGAAGTTTAAATAATATAAGGAAAATTAAGAGTAAGTCAAAGGAATTACAAATTCATTACTAATGAATATTTAATTATACTATTGGGAAATGCATGAAATAACAGGCAATAAAAAGACTGCTAGCTTAAAAAAGCACAATCAATCACTCCTGCATACATGTAGTCAGAAGAACACCTTGCACAGGAGAATTTAGAATCATAGAACAGTTTGGGTTGGAATGGACCTTTAAAGATCTTCTATCCCAAGCCCCTACCATAGGCAAGGACATCTTCAACTAGATCAGGTTGCTTGGAGCCACGTCCAACCTGACCTTGAACACTTCCAGGGATGGGGCATGTACCACCTCTCTGGACAACGTGATCCAGTGTTTCAGCACTATCCTTGTGAAAACCAGTACATAACACAGGATTTAGGACTGTATAGAAACATATAACCTTGCAAAAATATCTTAGATACAGGATTTTCAGCTGTTCTCTGAACCCACTACTCTTTTTATTTCAGAAAAAAGTCAAAATGCCAAAGCTTGTTGCTGTTAATAAGTCCAAGCCAGACTCACCAAAAATGCACAAAGCATGTAAAAACTGATAAAATAAATTATGGCAAAATTGCTTCCACACGTGTATTCCTCCCCTGGATTATAATCAGATTCTGGATCACAGCGTTTTCCAGGCAAACATGCCAGCATGATCTCCTGCCAGGCTTCTCCAGTTGCACACCTTTATAAAGTCACAAAGATAAATTAGGCATTATTTGATCAAAATGGATTAAAGATGTATTAATTTGTTTAGGTCTGACAAAATGCGTGGAGTCCTACAAGCACAAATGTGAAGACAGATTGTGAGCTTTTCAAAGCAGGAACTACAAAAATACAGAACTTGTTTCAGAAATAACAAGCACAGGTCTGACACTGCAGACACATAAGGTAGACTTGCATGTAAAAATCCGAACCTCAAACTGTAATTTATAAGTTAAATACTGCAGTGAAGCTGCTGTGTATAAATATGGTCTTTTTTAGGAAAACCTGTCCTAAAAGTTTATGGAGGTATCCATTTGTAACAGATGAATTGCCTTTTCCTCAGGATGGTTGAAGAAATGTTTGTCTCGAACTTCTACTATTGCATTTTTTTTCATAGTTTGTGCAAAGACATGATTACAAATACTTACAAGACCACTAAATATTTATGACAGCTGTGGTTGTGTTTATTGCCTAGTTTGAAAGTAAAAGCCTTTACATGCGAAAAGTGACTTAGATATCTCTGGGTAATTGGATTCAGATAAGGAACGACTGTCCAGTTTTGCCAGCTGGGTGATTAACAACGCAGAGGAGCTCCGTGGAGCTACAGAACCACAGGCAAGAGAGATTGTCACCTTCTACGTTGTTCCCTATCCTTGCTCCAGGACACTGAGGGTATCCTGGCAAAGCTCTCTAGCAATGGAGATTCCATCATCCTGCTCCATCAAGATGTAGATATCTTTGACATCAGAAAATTTTGCCTTTTGCTTATCTGATATTTCCCTTCCGCAAGTCACACCCTCTGCTCCTTGTCATCTCCTCAGCAAATGTACGAACAGTTTATTTCTTTGTCTTTGCAACAACCTTTCACTATTTCAACCTGCCACGCTAGCCATGTTTCTAAAGGTAACAGTAAGGGCACCTTTCCCAGCACCTGCACAGCGATGTCAGGGCTGACTAGGTTTGGGCTGTACCTGAACACAATCGCTCCACAAATGGGAACTTTCACAACAGCTGTAATGCAGGTAGGTCTGTATGGCCTTATCAGAACCCCGCTGTGCCAAGGGACACTCAGTACACAGCCACACAGAGTACGTGCTTGTTACGCTAAACTGCCGCTCACTTGCAGACAAATACGGACAAATCCATGGTACAAGAGCTACGGATATTTTTCATACATCAGTCAAACAGGATGCATTAAGTAAGAGTTAAGGTTTACTTGCCTGAAGAGAAGTAGCACAGCTTGGGGGAAAGTCTGAAAATTGTTGTTTCTGTTTATTTGATTGTTGTCCCTCATGGCCACTTTTCCAAATACCTACAACAAAACAGGATTTTGACTTTCGTCCTAGTGACCTGGACTATCAGAAGCTGTACACCTTGCAGTCTAAGCTTGCTTCAGTATGTATGAAAAACACTTTCACAAATACACTTTCTTTAAGTCTCTTTAGATTTTATCTGATATGTTGTAAATGCAGTAAATTTATCACATGCACAAGATAATTCCTTATAATTTATCTCTGGCATTAAGAAGCCATTATAATAGTAACATATATTCCTGTATTTCAGGTGTTAAACTAGCACCTTGAGTCCTTTATTAAAGGCCTACTGTGGTAAATATTGTACATGTAGTAAGAAATAATTGCTGTCCTGAAAACCTCAATTCTAAATACAGAAAAAGAGCTGCCAAGATGGAAACTAAAGCAGAGACTCTGAGTATCCGATCTAAGCCAGAGATGGCAGAGTTCAGTTCTTCAAAATTAAATTGCAATTCCTTGGCCGCAAGACCATTTTTTTTCCCCAATATAATACATTTATATCCTCTTATAGCACAGTGAAGGCTGTTACTTAATTTAGTGCAATTAACACCATTACGCTCTGTGCACATGCTGCTGGACTGCAAGGGCATTTAAGTTGCTTTTGGATAAATGATGAAGAAAAAAAGTCAGAAAGCAAAACCACTCTCTATAGCACAGGTCTTCTCATTTAATTGGAACCTCCTTTAGTGCTGATTTTAAGAACCTTACAACTTTGAGAACAGAAGAAAACATCTGTAATGTTTTATGGAACATAGAGCTACCCTAAAGCCTTATGGCAAGACAGCCCGTGTTACCAAGTGGGGAAAAAAAAATTTTTTAAAAAATATTTTTTAAAAAAGAGAAAACTGTAGCCCAAATTAAGGATTGTTAATAGGAACCTCAGCCACAGTGTGCATGGTCACTCAGCCACACTCTGGGCACTAGATGTCACATGTGGCACAGAGACTACCATGCAACTCAAGCCACACTCCCAGTGCCTTTACCTGCTGCTTTCCTGCAGTCTGCACAGTCCCCTTGCAAACAGCTCTCCATCCCAGCCTCCCACCAGAAATGGCCCCGCAGCGTGAATTTTAGGGACGGTTTCCTGACAGGTTTCTCCTGTCCAGCTGTCTCCACTTACTAAGACTGGAGAACCTGTTCTGACCTCACAGCACTGCCACCGGTGTGAGAAGAGGCACCCTCCATCCCCATAGCAAATTTTTACATTTTAAGTTACTCAAACCCTTTCCGTGCTTTCACGTCTTGTACATAATTCTGCTCTTGATTAACCATAGTCTCAGTTGTGCCTAAATCTTCAGCTAGATTCTTTTCCTAGTTCTATTATTTTCATACGGGAAAGACTTTAAAAAAAACCAGAAAAAGATGGAGTTCTAATGCCCGATTTCCTAAACAAGTCTACAGCACAAAAAAAGGCACTAATAGGAATAAGCTTCACAGTACATGGAAGAGGAATGGCTCCTTTCAGCAAACCAAGCTATTTTCTTGCACCTTTTTGGATTTTCTGACTATCAGACATTTTTACGTTACTTTGAAAGTTCTGCCTTATATATAGCACTACTACCAAAGGCATGATTCCATAAGCATCTTATCAAACAAGTCTCCAAGAAGCAAACAACATACTTGAATGCTAAAAAATCCTCTAATTACCTGCATTCCAATGACAGCATAGATGAAGAACAGCATCGCTATCAGAAGGGCAACATAAGGCAGAGCCTAGAAACAGAACAGGTGCATCGTCTCTTAATAATTTCACACTATAATTTCAATTTCCATTTACGAAAATACTTTATCTGCACAACATAGGCTTTTCCAAGGTTTTTCCTCCTATGCAAATGCTTAAAATGTAACTATCTGTCACTCTTAGTATTCTGCTACACACAATGAATACATATATATATATTTTAAATTATTTCTGCCAGCAATCCAAGGGGAATAATCATCTTGAGCATGTTTTAATTTTATTTTTGTTACTGATTCTGACAACACTGAGATACTTCCATCTATACAGTTACAGAGTTTCATTAACTTCACATTCATCAGAGTTTCCAGGAACAAGGACTGAAATATCTGTTACATTTATAAAATCAATATTACCTATTTTAAAAAAAAGGATTAAATTCCTCTTTTGTAGGCACCTAATAAAATGTGTAGAAGTATGAGACCTGTGTGTGTCAAACGTATCCTAGCTCTTTTAGACAGATATACCAAATACTTTGTAAAAAGTACCATAGAAATCTCACGGTAAAAGCTACTATTAAACAACAAAGTGACCCTTGGACTCATTGAACTAGTGAAGTTTCTTTTGGCATTAGTAAGCAAATATATTTAAATATGTCATTACTGACAGCATGAATTTCAAAAGAAATACTTTTTGCACTCTATAGGTTATTGCTTTGTAAGATTTGGTGTATAAATAAAGCAAATATAAATAAATTTTTCTAACCTGAAATGACTTAATAAATGTCCACAGTAACGTTCTGATTCCTTCTCCTCTGCTAAGCAGCTTCACCAACCTCATCACCCGGAAGAGCCGGAAAAAAGTGATGGAGATTCTAGCGCTGTCTTCAGAGTTCTGAAGAGCATCATGAAGAAGTCAAACCAAATACAAACTCAAACATGCAACACTTCCAGAAAAACAACAGCAAATGCAAAGGTGGACGAGGTAAGATTTGAAAATGTATCTTGAGGGCCTTTTCACCTTGATAAGCATGATATGAAAAGGAAAAATTACATGCTAAAACACAGGACCTGTAGAAATGCTTCACACATCACATGCATTTCCAAGTTTTCTGGTTTGTTAATAAGGATCATATTGGGTTGTTTGTAGTAGACTTCAATAGTACATTGACAATGGATGCAAACCACTGCATAACACCTTGGTAGTAAGACAGTTATGAAAGATACAGAAAAAAATTGGTGGAAAAAAGACATGGTAAAAAGAATAAACTCAAGTAGAGGTAAAACCACTGGGGTCAGTTTATTAATCTTACCCCAGACTCATCAGTTGTGACTGTTTCAGTTGGCTTTGGCTTTAAGAAATTAAGAACATTAAATATTAAAATCAAAGAAAAGATCAAAAAAAAATCAGCTTAACCATAAACAGAAGGAAGGACATTTTTCTTTCTAAATTAACATCTTTCAACTCAATATACTTCCTGAGCAAAACATTAATATCCTTACTAAAACCTTCCCTTTAGCATTTCACTGACTCATACGAAAACATTGTTAGCTGACTCATACTAAAATCCAACAGTATAAAACATGTTTAACAGACTCAATGGAAAGTAAATGCAAAATAAAATATCTGCTCCTATGTAAGCCAAACAAAATTAGCCACTGACTTCCACATGTATGAAACAGTAGCAGTAAGGAAGTAAAAAAAGCTTTGTTATCAAACCAGTCTTTCAAGTTCCCTTTCCTACTGTGCTCTTTTTAAAGACGAATTACTCCATCACTGGAGTCCAACCGCATTCAGGAAATTGTATTTTTTATCACATCAGGAGCTCCCTTAAAGCAGAGTAATTAATTTAAGTCCGTGATGAGCACTGGGGTTTGCAGTGCTTAACAAGGACAGACTTTCGCTCTGCCAAAATGACAAACTTTTTTAGCGCAACGATAAGAAGGCAAACCCACCCACAGAGGTGCAAATGAGAAGACAATTCTTGTGCTCTCTCATCATCTAGAAAGTACTCCTATACGTTAGCTGAGGTAACACGGAGAAAGGGCTTCAGGATTTGACTGACCCTTTTGGTAAAATCCCTCAGGAGCTACAGGTGAGAGGCACACACCAACTTCTCGTTCAAAGAGCCAAACTCTATGTCCTGCGAAGAAGAAACTCGCTTCTCTCCTTATAATGTTGCTGTCTTTGGAGAAAGTGTCTCGATCTCTAAGGTCCCTTCCAGCCTAGGCCATTCGATGATTCTACGATACCCTAAATGGTCAGACCCTTAGCAAAGCGGCCAGCAAAGCTTAAACGACCAACTGCCTATGCTTGCCCTGACACATTCACAGCAGCTTCTCCCAGAAGTTTGTGGAATCTTTAAAAGCATTCATAGCACTAGAATAAACGGTATTCTGCATGTTAGACCCAAGTGATGGGTATTAGTCTTTTGCCTAAAATATCGTCCTTTTAAAGGGGCACCTTTCAACAATCATTGTCACATATAGTGGCAATAAGCACGATGCCTCCTCAGTGCTGCTTCCAGCACATTACGGATGCATCAGCCGCACTGTCGATGCCATGTTTCACCAGGCAAAATCTCTAGCATTGCTGTTACCCAAGAAAAAACTCTGGGAGAAAGAAGGGAAAACAGAGGAGCCAATTCTGCTGAAAATACTGGCAGTATATTACACAAACATACTATAGTAAAAAAACAAGAATAGGTGGTACCTCATTAAAGTGAGATCATAAGCGGTATTTATTAAAGTACTAATAGTTTTGTCTTTATTATTTGCAAACCATTTATAACATAAAGGTATCACCAGGAGAAAACAAGGTAAAAAAACCCTGTCTGTTCAACTATGTGTGATCTACATATGTGTACATCACTGCCCTGCCAGGATATCAGTATTTTCTGAAACACAGTTTTAAAACTGCTTAAGGGATCATTACTGAATTAATGCATTAATATTAACCAAAACCCAGATCTCCTCATTAGACTTCAGATAGCAGAGTATTTGTAAAATCAGCTGTAACATCTAAGCTTTGTAAGCATTTACATAAAATACATGAAAATATGCTGCCAATAGAAGTCAGTTGCTGCATTATGAAATTCCTGTATATTTAAACAATTTGAAATAAAACCATAAAAATATAGATTAAGAACTTCATAATCACAAACATCATAAAGGACAAAATACCACAAAACATGGAAATAATCTTGCAAAGCTGTCTACCTGCATCAATCACAAGGCTGTACTCATGTACCCAGACCCACATTGCTATTGACTTTTTGATACAGAAAAAAAATCTTTTTTATCTGAAAACTTAAAGAAAAGGGTTTCATTACACCTTCTGCAGATGAAGCCTAAAATTTCATATTAATCTCTGGTGATGGACTCATGCTGAGCTTGATATTCTCTTAACCAGCGAGCAAATGTCTCAATTAGCATTCAATATTTTGTAGCATGAAAAAAACCTAAGTATTTGGCAGATACGAAACAGATCAAATTACAGTATCATCACAAACTGATGCTTAAAAAAATTAAGTAAAATACTGGGTTTCCCATTGGGAAGGTTTTCCTGCTAGCTTTTGTAGGAGAAGGATTGGGCCTCAAATAAACTAGGAACCATGTTAGAAGAGCAATATGTGGTGGGATGGATAAGAACACAAAAAAGATACTTTAGTCCCACAGACTTTTATTTCGTTGCTTTCCAAAAGAAAAAATAATGAGCAGCATGTATTAAGATATGGTTATAAAAAAAACTCACAAAAGGAAAAGCCAGTAAACACCCATCTTTTTTTACACGTAACTATCTTAATAATTACTTAATCCTCACTTTTGTAAATGCTGCCCATTATTGGCCAAGTGGTTTGAGTATTGAAGTTTTAAAGTGAGTGTATCTGATGATTTTTTACCCTTTCTGGCATTGCCCTCTGATAATAACTGCAGCTTGATTTATATTATTAATACTAATTATCACGAAGTTAATATATCACAAAGAAAATGTTATTCTTATTTATTTGCAAAGGAAATACTCATCTAAGAGACAAAGTTAGTTAACGTTTAAGTGTGTCCATCCAGCATGAAGTAACATTAAGGTCTGGGAAACTAAGATTAAGATAACACAATCTTCAGTAACAATGACAGACTGACAATAACAGAGAACGTCTGCATCCTACAGATAAGGAAAAAACATATACTACCCATACACATAATATTATTTGAAACTTCAGTAATATTATTTGACATGTACACACATAAGGAGGAGGCACATTATGTATATGCAGGGAAAGGATTAGAATAGACTTGAGACTACGTGGGGGGGCAGGTTGAGCAGCACGTGTCGCTTGGAATGATGGTTGCTGACAAGAACAAAAATAAAAGTATTTCCTGCAGTCAGGCAGTGTACTGCCAACCTTTTTTTTCTCCTCTTCTTCCACACTACTTGTGTCCCAAACACTTTGTGACTGGCTGGTCATTATCACAACTTTTTTTTCTGCTGTAGGACTATGATTCCTAAGACGACAGATGTTTTTCTGGGATCACTGCTGGAAGTCTGGTGATGGGTGCAGCTGGAATAAGTGACCAGCTTCTGGGTTTGCTGCCTGGATAACAGATGTGCTGCAAGGAGGGACATGAGGACAGAGACTGGCTCAATTATCCTACCTCTTCTGTCAGCTGTGTGCCAGCTACACGGAGAGCCTCATTCAGCAAAGCACTTCACAAACATGTAAATTTTCTGTGCCAATTTGTAAGTACTTAAATAGGCAGTAATGTATAATTTTTCTGTTCTTCTTAACCAAAGTTCAACACAGCAGCTTTCTTCCCCAAACAAAACTCAACCCTCCAAAAAAATTAAGCAATGATCTATCTAAAATTCTGATTCAGTGATTATAATGTTTGCAATCTGCTACCAATTTTGGTCAAGTATTTATTGCTGCTTCCAAAAAATGTAGCACATTTCTTTATATGGTAACTCCTCATTACACTCTTCTTACTTTCACAGGGTCTTGAAATAAACATCCTAACTGGAAAAAGCTTCAATGTCAAAACTGTCAACAGTGTGAAACAGACTGCATCATGCACTGGAAGCAAACTGTAGCTCTGTCTTTAAGAAAAAATAAACATGGTGAAAACCAGTGGATGTTTGTATATGGTGTTGGTCAAAAGCTTCTTTTTTTACAGAATGTGCCAAAGGGCACGAGAGTATGCCAGAACAAATGAACAGATAACGGTGATGTGACCATGATTACAAATATAGAAGGAAACACCTGAACGACAAATACATATAATGACAATAACATGTATAGGAAAGCACTGAGGTTGCCAAAATACCTTCTGAAATGTGTAGTGTATGTGTGTCTGTATGCATGTATAAATATATAGAGACAATTTGTTAATTATTAGAATGTGCTAGTACTTTTCTTCACAGTCTTATCAGTGCTCTCTATATTCTCTGTCCAACATGAACCAAATGCCCACATACAGAATTTAGCAAAAATTTTGAATCCATGTGAAGAACTGCAGAGTAGATTAAAAAACATATCTTTTCCCTCATAAAAGATATATTTAAAACTCTCGGTTCATTACTAACACTTTGATAACATGGGGCATTATAATGATATCTAAGAGATATTCAGTTCTGCAATAAAGTAAATAAATTATTAGGATTAACTCCTTCAAGAAAGCAGCTCAGAAGTTTACTTCTATTTCCAAATTAAATATTGCCACACAAATAGATTTCATATTGCAGTAAGACACCATACTAACAAAAGCAAAGTCATATGATAAGGTATTTTTCTTCCCTAATCTTCAGCCTGAAGAAATACATTTACAAAAGTGTAAAGATGCATTAACAGTATTCAAAAATATCCATTACTAGCAACAAAACGTAAGTTCTAACATATG